CTATAGTAACACAGTGTAGGCGGAGCCGTGACGTCATCTTCAATGAGAGCCCCAGAAAAACAACACAGCCGTTAGCTCTTAGCACTCAGAGCTCACAGCTCCTCATATCTGTTCAGAAACTAGACAAAAGTTAAACAAGTACAAACCACAGACTGCCTGTGTCATGGCGAATACAGTTGCTGCTTTATTTATGTCTGTATAGGCCGTTGTTGTGAGTGTGGACGGTCGGAGCATATACTGCGTTAGCTTAGCCAAGCTACATTTAGAAAACACGCATTTTAAAAGGTGTTTCTCTGCCGTCTGTCTGCAGACTTGTCAAAGCATTAATTCATGGTTTTTACTAACCGGTATCAGTATGTTGTTACTTCGGCATCATTTAGAAACGTGTATTATAATTAAATCACGGTCAAATATGTTCATCTTGTTGTAGTTGTAACCCCCTTGCCAGCGATTCTCTCTCTAGTTTAGCATACTCAGCCCGACTCAGCCTGGTTGTTCCTGGCCCTAGTACCACCATTTAGTCGGGCCAGAAAAAAGGTGAAAAAGTAGCCCCGGGCCAAAACTAGGCCAAGTGGAAACGCAACCAAAAACGGGCCCCGCACGGCTCGGCACGCTTAAAGCGAGCTACCCGCTGCAGTGGAAACGCGCCATTAGCTTGCTTCACCTCCAGCCCTGACCATTGGAGGAACTCATCAGTGCTTGCCAGCATGTCAATGATGACATCCTCTTGTCGTGATGACACCTGCACGTCGTCAGCGTATCCCTGAACAGGATTTGGGGATTTGACATGCAGCGGAGCGCACTGGTAAATCCACTTCATCCATTGGTTGAGTGCTAGGATGAAGTTCACGGCACTCCAGGGACAGCCAGTTTTTATTCCCACCTTCAGTGCAATCGGCTCTGTGAGCTGCTGCCCACAGATAACCTGGAGAAATGAACCTTGGTACACATTGGATACAATATTCACAAAAGGCTGAGGCAGGTGTATTTCCTCTAATGCTTGTAGCATCACCTCGTGGGAGAGTGCACCAAACGCGTCTCTAAAGTCCAAAAACACTGTGTAGAATTGAGATGATCCATGTTTGAAATCATCTATTCCGGTTTTTAAGCAAAACACATGTTCGTTCATTCCCTGTCTGTTGATATATGCTTTCTGATGGGGGGAGAGAATCCCTGTGTCCACCAGCCAGGGTAAGATGCGGGTGAGTAGGCACTTCATAAAGACTTTGTATACAGTGGGCAATAGTGAAATGTCACATGGAAGGATCATCTGGGACATTTTCCTTTTTTGGTATCCTGTGAATGAGGGCCCCTTTCCATGAAGCAGGCACCTTTTACATTACATTGCATTTAGCTGACGCTTTTATCCAAAGCGACTTACAATAAGTACATTTGACCAGGAAGACACAACCTTGAAGAAAACAGAATCATAAAGTACATCAGGTTTCATAGAGCCAAACATTTCAAGTGCTACTCAACTGGCTTTAGATAAGCCAGTCCTTTATTAGTATATAAGTGCTTTGTTAATAGTTCTATCGCTCGAAGTGGAGTCGAAAGAGATGAGTTTTCAGTCTGCGCCGGAAGATGTGCAAGCTTTCTGCCGTCCTGATGTCAATGGGGAGCTCATTCCACCATTTTGGAGCCAGGACAGCAAACCCACGTGTTTTTGCCGATGGGAACTTGGGTCCCCCTCGCAGCGAGGGCGCAGCGAGTCGTTTGGCTGATGCAGAGCGTAGTGCACGCGCTGGGGTGTACGGTTTAACCATGTCCTGGATGTAGGAAGGGCCAGATCCATTCGCAGCATGGTACGCAAGTACCAGTGTCTTGAAGTGGATTCTAGCAGTTACCGGAAGCCAGTGAAGGGAGCGGAGGAGCGGCGTGGTGTGGGAGAATTTAGGAAGGTTGAAGACCAGACGAGCCGCTGCATTCTGGATGAGCTGCAGAGGTCGGATGGCACATGCAGGTAGACCAGCCAGGAGGGAGTTGCAGTAGTCTAGGCGTGAGATGACGAGAGCCTGGACCAGAACCTGAGTCGCTTTCTGTGTCAGCTGGGGACGTATCTTCCTGATGTTGTAAAGCGTGTATCTGCAGCAGCGGGTTGTAGCAGCGATGTTTGCAGTGAAGGACAGGTTGTTATCTAGGGTCACACCCAGATTCCTTGCAGTCTGAGTCGGGGAAACAACTGAGGTGCCGATGTTGATTGTCAGGTCAAGAGTGGGACAATCTTTTCCCGGAAGGAAGAGCAGCTCAGTCTTGTCAAGGTTGAGCTTGAGGTGATGAGCAGACATCCACTGAGAGATGTCAGCTAGACAAGCAGAGATGCGTGCGACGACCTGGGTCTAGTGGTTGCTGCGTCAATAGGAAATGTCGTCACCCGGTCAGATGTACACAGATGTACTTCTCATTGATCAGGCAGGCATTGAAGATGTGTGTGAGTGTCTGTGTTGACGTGGGCCTGGTAGCTCTCAGCGTCTCATAGATGACCCCATCAGATCCACTAGCCTTGTTATTAGGAAGAGAGGCCAGAACTGCATCCACTTCCTCTGTTGTAAAGTCCTGGGTATCTGGGAAATAGCCTGGCTCTATTCTGTCAATGAAATTGTACCAAGGGGGCGTGGCCAGGGGAGTAGCCCTCGGCACAGTTTGACATTTGGCTTTATAGTGGTCATACACATTGGCTGTATCACTAACAGTGGGCGGGGTTTCCGGAAAACAGCTGTTATTTAAAATGATATCGATTGCCTTTGATTTGCGGTGTAGCCACAGATATGCCAGCTTGTTCCTGGAAACTTTCCTTTGCTGCCGTTGTGTCTCTGTCCCGGCGGCCCGCAGCGCTGGTTGTATTCTCTCACGGATGAAGCGAAGCTGCATTTCTATCCAAGGTGTCAGCGAGTCAGCTGTAAGGTCCACCGGGCAGTCGCTGTAAGGTCCACCGGGCAGTCGCTGTAAGGTCCACCGGGCAGTCGCTGTAAGGTCCACCGGGCAGTCGCAGTAAGGTCCACCGGGCAGTCGCAGTAAGGTCCACCGGGCAGTCGCAGTAAGGTCCACCGGGCAGTCGCAGTAAGGTCCACCGGGCAGTCGCAGTAAGGTCCACCGGGCAGTCGGCAGAAAGAGGGAATTTCTTCAGGATTCTGGCGACATATTTCAGAAGCTGGAATCCGTAGGGACGCGAGTTTCGTTGCGTCGCGGAGAATATTCCATTAATGAAAAAAGCGCTGGTCAGGATTGTCACCAGCCTGCCCCACTTCTCTGCGCCTCCGAGAGTAACAGCAAAGTTAGATCTTACCTGGAGCAGTTTTGTGTCCAGTGTCCCCCTGCACGCTCTTTCATCTCTCTGGAAAGTAGTCCACTCACAATCTGACAATAATCGCACATATTGCTCGAAGTCTACACGAACATCTCCGGCCGGTGTTGGGCTTGGGTCGCAGACGTTCTGGCGTTGTTTGTAGACCCGCCGGGCCAGGGCTTGTTTAAAGGCCAATCTCAGCGTGGTAACGAGACACATTGTGTACCAAAAGCGTCCAGTGCATCTTATATCCCCACTGCACGCACGCACGCACGCACGCACGCACGCACACACACACACTCTTCCTGATATAACTAATAATTCAGAACTCATTTGTTATAATAGCGTTAAATGAAAACTCTACAGCGTTGGTTTATCTTTCATTTCAGAACCTTGCATGCAAACTGAACAACATGTCAGATGTCATTAAGAAACCTGCGTCATCAGACTGAAACATTTAAATATGTTCCCCTCATAAAATCAAAGCAATCCCACGACCAGGTATTCAGTGAATATCTTTTAATGTGTTTACAAAAACAAAATAAATATCAAATAATCAACATAGATGAAGCTTTACGTTTTAAATGCTCCGAGCAAATCGTACAAAAAGCTTTTTTACAGAGAAATAAAAGCAAGCGTTCTGCTTCACAACGCAGCGACATTTATATACCAATAACTCATTATATGATGGAATAATATAAACCTTTAATTAATGCTGTGTGTGATGATGTGAGGGAACACTTCAGATAAAAAGCTTTTTGTCAAAGTTCATTGTGTCTTCTGTGTGTGTGTGTGTGTGTGGGTGTGTGTGTGTGTGTGTGTGTGAGAGTGTGTGTGTGTGTGTGTGGCCTAGCATTACTATCCTTGTGGGGACCTAAATCTGTTTACACAGTCACGTGTGGGGACTCGCCTCCCTTATGGGGACAAAATGGAGGTCCCCATAAGGGGAATCATTCATTTTAGGGTGAAGACTTGGTTAGGTTAAGGGTTAGGGTTAGGCATGTGTTGGTTAAGGTTAGGATAAATCTCCAGGAAATGCATGTAAGTCAATGTAATGTCCCCTGAAGTGATGTATACATGGTATGTGTGTGTGTGTGTGTGTGTGTGTGTGTGCGTGTGAGAGAAACTTTAAAATAGGTGTCTGAAGAAGTGAGGCTTTACACTAAAGTCAGATTAATATCCATACAGTAGATATAGTTTAATAATACAGGTGTAACTTGATAAAGATTCCTTTCATAGGGAATTCAGACCTGCAGTGACATCAGGAGTCATGTGACCACATTGTTAACATAAGAAACATTTTAGGTACGTTTCCAACAACAGAGATAGTTATCCTGCTTTATTATGTATTCTTCAGAATGTGTTTGTGGCACACACTCTCAGAGTCCAGGTCTCAAACAACTCTCTCTTTGGCTCTGATGGTTTTCTGTATGGTCTATACCCCTCTAATCTGGGATCATAAAGCTACATTTAAAACAGTGAAATCAATAAAAACAGGCCTGTAAACAACAACAGATGTGAGGATTCAAACAGACACTTTAAACCATCATTAATAGAGTTGTAAATGTCTGCCCCCCCCCCCCGCTCAGTGCTACAGATCATCAGAGATATTAATAATTCATTTACATAGAAACAACACACACACACACACACATCCACACACACACACACACACACACACATCCACACACACACACACACACACACACACACACACACACACACACACACACTGTACAAACAGATATTTCGGTCGCTCAGGTCTGATGCTTCAGTGCTGTCGGCTCCTTTTTTCCCAGAATGCACCTCTGTGTCTCCGTTGGTCCGTCTTCAATGCAGCGTGTTCTCCTCTGAGGAAACAGAGTTATTAATATCACCTAATAAAACAATATTTAATATTTGAAGTAAAAACTGCACTAATAGTTGAAAAAAAGTCGTAACATTTGAGGAAAAAAAAAAGGTCAATATTTCATAGAGAATTTAATATTTCCTGGAAAATATTCATAATTAATGGAAAAAAGAAGTTGTAATATGAATTTTTTTAAACAAATTAATGAATAAAAAAATAATTATATTTCAAGGACAAAAAAATCTGGAGGAAAAATATATTATAAAATATAAAAAATGTTGTTGAAAAAAAAAAATTCTGATATTTGGAAAGAAAAATGTAATTTTAACAGCAAAAAGTGACTTTAGTTCAACAATTTAGAGAAACTGTAGAAAATATTTCAAGTCATAATAAAAGAAAAAAAAAATCTGAATATTTTTAAAGAAAAGTTTTAATATTTCAAACAAAAAACATAATAATTTCTTGAGCAAAAAATTGTTTCATCGAAATAATTAGCAAATATAATGCCTTTTTTTTTTTAAGGGAAGTGTTTTTTTCGGAAAAGCTTTACACTTAAAGTATGTGTGTGTGTGTGTGTGTGTGTGTGTCCTCACTCTGTGTGTACGGTGCAGAAGCTCACACACTCCTGGTCCTGTGTGTGTGTGCAGAGGCAGCGGCTCAGATCTCTCCTCAGCCGGACAGAACCGAACCCGTACGGAACCACACGGCTGCAGACAGGAAGTGTCCAGTGTTAACCATAAGATAACAACAACAACAAGAATAATAACAACAACAATAATAATAATATCCACAATGTGCATGGTAAAATGTGTTAAAGTGTAAGGATCATGCATGAGATTATTTTCTGCATTAACCCAATGGAAACATCCCATTGGACCAGGGGGATGCTGCCTTCAGGGCACAACACAAGAATACGACATCCTGCAGTCTGTGTATAAATATATGCATGTGTCTCGGTTTCCAGAGGTCTGTACTACGAAGTAGGATGTTCTCTTAGCGGCTAACTTCAGGGTAACTCTGGGTTTCCGGTCCTACGAAGCTGGTTCTCTTTTTAGCGGGCTAGATCTCCATGGTAACTGATGCTGAGCGGCTAACCTGCTCCGGACCAGGTTAGGTTGCAGACTAAGAGCTCAACTCAGTGAAAGCACTGCCTGCTGACCAATCAGAGCTCAGTGTGCGGAGTTTAAAGCGATCAAGTCATATTACAGGAGAAAGGAAATACAGAAAAACTGCCGTCGCAGGAAAGACGGCCGGCAACAATCAGCGACTGTGTGAACGTGAACATGAATAGAATATCACCTCCATCTTCAGAGCAATCTGACTATTATAACATTAGCGTTAAGAAAGCTTACTGAAATATCTGCCACAACATCAGTAACCGGATCAGAGTCACATTAAGTACAGTCCATATCACTTCATAATGTATCACATATCTCCTTTTATAAAACGGACAAGTCAAATCAAGCAATTTGATTGGTTCTTAGCCGTGGTATACGCTCAGTATATCACGGCTAAGAACCAATCAAATTGCTAGAATTGTAAATTACTTTTCACAACAAATCAGTATCCCTCCGCGTCTGAGAAAAACAGTATACCGTTGGGCTGAAAAGGAAACTGCCTGCAGTTGTCGACCCTCCGCTTCGCGTCGGGCCGAACCACGCCCCTTAGCTGTGATATAATGAGCATATACCACGGCCTGTCGTGAGCTATTGCTTAAATCTGAGTCAGCTGAGCCGTATCTGGCCGTGCAACACTCACAGCGTCACAGACTGGATGCAGAAGGATTATTTTAAGCAGCACATTAAGTTGAGGAAACACTGGAGTCAAATGTAATGAAAGTCAGATGGTGTCTTAGACGGGCAGTGATATCATAAAGCTGTTAATGTACGCATTCAAACACTTGTTCTGTTCCCAGCTGTGTTCACCTTGCAGGTGCAGCTCTGTGGCTTTGATCCTGGATCAAGTGTTTGAGTCATGGATGTTTAAACTTTAACTTCTTCATACGTCTAATATTAAAGTTCACTTTTCATTCAGGAAGTGTGACGCTGCGCTGTCAGTGCGCTTCTCCATGTCTGTGATTGGTCGAATGCTCCAGATACCACCCCTCTCATGTGAACACCTAGCTAGATAGGACACGGCTGGCTTGAGCGATCCACTTGATAACCCGCGTCGTAGGACCGCTTAGCGAGAGCGCGTATGTTTTGGATTAGGCCAACCGGCTAACTCAAACATATCCAGGTTAGGTTGAACCAGCTTCGTAGTACAGGCCTCTGGTAAACTACATCGTTATTTCGTGGAACGGTTCAAAGAAGATCTCGGGGTTTCAATGGGTTACTTTGTTGTGATTCTGAGCGTCTCGTCCTCTCTTCACATCTGTTTCCACTGCTGGATGATTGAATGCATCCCGCTCTGCAGCTTTTGTCTGCAGGGTTATTTATTTCCTCTCCGCTCTTTTGTTAACCTCCGTGTCGGGGTTCACTCCTCGGCTGGCTTCACGCCGCGTTATGAATTAAGTGAGGCTGTCAGCAAGCTCCCTGCTTCTCCTTCTGAGGAACAAATCCAGCTGTTGACCTGCAACTGTTGAACTCCAGTGGCGTTGATATCAGATATGTAAACGCTCGGTGACCTGCGAGATGTCACGGTTTCGAACACTAAGAGTTAGTCAGAGTTATTCACACAGATCTCCTGACTTCCTGTGCGGTCGTCCATCGCAAGATGGTTTTCCGTTCCTCGTAACGGTCTGAGAAACGTTTCTGTTTGGATGTTAGCACTATGTTCGATAGTGGTGGTCTAATGGATAGTGAGGTGGGCTGATGATCAGAAGGTTGTGAGTTCAAGTCCCGCCTGGAACACCACCACTAGAGTAAGGCACTTAGCCCTCAGTTACTCCAGGGAGAATGTCCCTGTGATTGGTCTTTGTAAGTCGCTTTGGATAAAAGCGTTACCTCAGATTGTAGAGATGTCTATGAGGAAATGTTCCTACTTCTCTCTCTCTTTATTACCTCAGATTGTATAGAAGTCTATGAGGAAATGTTCCTACTTCTCTCTCTCTCTATTACCTCAGATTGTAGAGAAGTCTATGAGGAAATGTTCCTACTTCTCTCTCTCTTTATTACCTCAGATTGTATAGAAGTCTATGAGGAAATGTTCCTACTTCTCTCTCTCTCTTTATTACCTCAGATTGTAGAGAAGTCTATGAGGAAATGTTCCTACTTCTCTCTCTCTTTATTACCTCAGATTGTAGAGAAGTCTATGAGGAAATGTTCCTACTTCTCTCTCTCTTATTACCTCAGATTGTATAGAAGTCTATGAGGAAATGTTCCTACTTCTCTCTCTCTTTATTACCTCAGATTGTAGAGAAGTCTATGAGGAAATGTTCCTACTTCTCTCTCTCTTTATTACCTCAGATTGTATAGAAGTCTATGAGGAAATGTTCCTACTTCTCTCTCTCTCTTATTACCTCAGATTGTAGAGAAGTCTATGAGGAAATGTTCCTACTTCTCTCTCTCTTTATTACCTCAGATTGTATAGAAGTCTATGAGGAAATGTTCCTACTTCTCTCTCTCTTTATTACCTCAGATTGTATAGAAGTCTATGAGGAAATGTTCCTACTTCTCTCTCTCTCTATTACCTCAGATTGTAGAGAAGTCTATGAGGAAATGTTCCTACTTCTCTCTCTCTTTATTACCTCAGATTGTATAGAAGTCTATGAGGAAATGTTCCTACTTCTCTCTCTCTTTATTACCTCAGATTGTATAGAAGTCTATGAGGAAATGTTCCTACTTCTCTCTCTCTTTATTACCTCAGATTGTATAGAAGTCTATGAGGAAATGTTCCTACTTCTCTCTCTCTTTATTACCTCAGATTGTAGAGAAGTCTATGAGGAAATGTTCCTACTTCTCTCTCTCTTTATTACCTCAGATTGTAGAGAAGTCTATGAGGAAATGTTCCTACTTCTCTCTCTCTTTATTACCTCAGATTGTAGAGAAGTCTATGAGGAAATGTTCCTACTTCTCTCTCTCTTTATTACCTCAGATTGTAGAGAAGTCTATGAGGAAATGTTCCTACTTCTCTCTCTCTTTATTACCTCAGATTGTAGAGAAGTCTATGAGGAAATGTTCCTACTTCTCTCTCTCTCTTATTACCTCAGATTGTAGAGAAGTCTATGAGGAAATGTTCCTACTTCTCTCTCTCTTTATTACCTCAGATTGTATAGAAGTCTATGAGGAAATGTTCCTACTTCTCTCTCTCTCTTTATTACCTCAGATTGTAGAGAAGTCTATGAGGAAATGTTCCTACTTCTCTCTCTCTTTATTACCTCAGATTGTAGAGAAGTCTATGAGGAAATGTTCCTACTTCTCTCTCTCTCTTTATTACCTCAGATTGTAGAGAAGTCTATGAGGAAATGTTCCTACTTCTCTCTCTCTCTTTATTACCTCAGATTGTAGAGAAGTCTATGAGGAAATGTTCCTACTTCTCTCTCTCTTTATTACCTCAGATTGTATAGAAGTCTATGAGGAAATGTTCCTACTTCTCTCTCTCTCTTTATTACCTCAGATTGTAGAGAAGTCTATGAGGAAATGTTCCTACTTCTCTCTCTCTCTTTATTACCTCAGATTGTAGAGAAGTCTATGAGGAAATGTTCCTACTTCTCTCTCTCTTTATTACCTCAGATTGTATAGAAGTCTATGAGGAAATGTTCCTACTTCTCTCTCTCTTTATTACCTCAGATTGTATAGAAGTCTATGAGGAAATGTTCCTACTTCTCTCTCTCTTTATTACCTCAGATTGTAGAGAAGTCTATGAGGAAATGTTCCTACTTCTCTCTCTCTTTATTACCTCAGATTGTAGAGAAGTCTATGAGGAAATGTTCCTACTTCTCTCTCTCTTTATTACCTCAGATTGTATAGAAGTCTATGAGGAAATGTTCCTACTTCTCTCTCTCTTTATTACCTCAGATTGTATAGAAGTCTATGAGGAAATGTTCCTACTTCTCTCTCTCTTTATTACCTCAGATTGTAGAGAAGTCTATGAGGAAATGTTCCTACTTCTCTCTCTCTTTATTACCTCAGATTGTATAGAAGTCTATGAGGAAATGTTCCTACTTCTCTCTCTCTTTATTACCTCAGATTGTATAGAAGTCTATGAGGAAATGTTCCTACTTCTCTCTCTCTTTATTACCTCAGATTGTATAGAAGTCTATGAGGAAATGTTCCTACTTCTCTCTCTCTTTATTACCTCAGATTGTAGAGAAGTCTATGAGGAAATGTTCCTACTTCTCTCTCTCTTTATTACCTCAGATTGTATAGAAGTCTATGAGGAAATGTTCCTACTTCTCTCTCTCTCTTTATTACCTCAGATTGTAGAGAAGTCTATGAGGAAATGTTCCTACTTCTCTCTCTCTTTATTACCTCAGATTGTATAGAAGTCTATGAGGAAATGTTCCTACTTCTCTCTCTCTCTTTATTACCTCAGATTGTATAGAAGTCTATGAGGAAATGTTCCTACTTCTCTCTCTCTTTATTACCTCAGATTGTATAGAAGTCTATGAGGAAATGTTCCTACTTCTCTCTCTCTTTATTACCTCAGATTGTATAGAAGTCTATGAGGAAATGTTCCTACTTCTCTCTCTCTCTTTATTACCTCAGATTGTAGAGAAGTCTATGAGGAAATGTTCCTACTTCTCTCTCTCTTTATTACCTCAGATTGTATAGAAGTCTATGAGGAAATGTTCCTACTTCTCTCTCTCTTTATTACCTCAGATTGTATAGAAGTCTATGAGGAAATGTTCCTACTTCTCTCTCTCTTTATTACCTCAGATTGTAGAGAAGTCTATGAGGAAATGTTCCTACTTCTCTCTCTCTTTATTACCTCAGATTGTATAGAAGTCTATGAGGAAATGTTCCTACTTCTCTCTCTCTCTTTATTACCTCAGATTGTAGAGAAGTCTATGAGGAAATGTTCCTACTTCTCTCTCTCTTTATTACCTCAGATTGTAGAGAAGTCCTATGAGGAAATGTTCCTCCTTCTCTCTCTCTTTATTACTTCAGATTGTATAGAAGTCTATGAGGAAATGTTCCTCCTTCTCTCTCTCTTTATTACTTCAGATTGTATAGAAGCCTATGAGGAAATGTTCCTCCTTCTCTCTCTCTTTATTACCTCAGATTGTAGAGAAGCCTATGAGGAAATGTTCCTACTTCTCTCTCTCTCTTTATTACCTCAGATTGTAGAGAAGTCTATGAGGAAATGTTCCTACTTCTCTCTCTCTCTTTATTACCTCAGATTGTAGAGAAGTCTATGAGGAAATGTTCCTCCTTCTCTCTCTCTTTATTACCTCAGATTGTAGAGAAGTCTATGAGGAAATGTTCCTACTTCTCTCTCTCTTTATTACCTCAGATTGTAGAGAAGTCTATGAGGAAATGTTCCTACTTCTCTCTCTCTCTTTATTACCTCAGATTGTATAGAAGTCTATGAGGAAATGTTCCTACTTCTCTCTCTCTTTATTACCTCAGATTGTAGAGAAGTCTATGAGGAAATGTTCCTACTTCTCTCTCTCTCTTTATTACCTCAGATTGTATAGAAGTCTATGAGGAAATGTTCCTACTTCTCTCTCTCTCTTTATTACCTCAGATTTTCCTGATGAGTTTATGATCTAAATCTCTAGCTTCCAGTCTTCTTCAACACAGCATGAAGTTCATTTGCTCACATTTAGAGTGAAACAGACGATAAAGCAGCGTATACTTTAGGGCGGGGCTACCTGTGATTGACAGGTTGCTTCCACAGCATTGTAATTTTTTTTATTTGACAACAATAAAAAAATGTCTCCAGTGAAATGTAACTTCATGAAAGCTAATTCCAACAATAAGGCCGCCTTAAACCGTCTTCTTTAGCGTTCAGTTGCACTTAGCTTTGTTAGATTGCTCTACTTAATGTTTCCTTTCACGGTCTGTTTTTACTTTACGAAAGATAATTAACTTAAAGAAGTCTTATCATCAACTTAGCTCCGCTTTGTGTGTCCACAAACCAATGGGTGACTACATCCACTTCCTGTGTTGTAAACAAAAATACACTATAAAAAATAATTCAATATGTAAAAGAAAGGAGTTTAGCAGGAAGTCCTGCACAGACGTTAGTGGTTTGGATGAAGTGTGGGAACTGCCAGCGCCTTTAAAGCGTCTTCATGGTGAAGGCAGGAAGATTGCCTTCAACCACAACGCTAACTTTAGACTAACGATCTCACCCAGAGCTTCAATGGACGTCGGTTTCACTTCTTCCTCTCAAGATAACTCATTTCAAATGTGACTAGTCGGTAGAAAGAAACTGGATATTCAAACATAAATCTCACAAAGGTTAGTCAAATAACTTCCAAGACTTTGGAAACAACAACAATCCAAATGTATAACTGAAATAAAGGCATTTTAATCATTTTGTTTTTTATTAAGAGTTGTATTTGTTACACCACATGACAAATACTAGATATACCATTATATCTTTACTTTATAATCTGCAACAAAACTCGTTTCAACCCAAGAGTTTGACGGGAACGTAAGGACTTGATTTCAGGCTCTCTGTGGTTTCTGTTAAAGAGTCTATTTAAGAGCAGCAGAGGAAACATGGCAGGAATTACCCTTCGTTAGGAAAGGTGCTCCTTCTCATTAGCTGCTCCACATGTAACGGCTCACTCATTGCTTGTGCATACTGAACTAAAATGAAGTTAATTGTTACCAATTGTGAAGAGAGTCTAAAAATATAAGCAGCTGGAGAAGGAAATGAAACTAATAAAATGTCTGTGCAGATGCAATGAGGCAGAGATGAATTCTGTGGTCCCTGTGATTAATATGGAATGTGAGTTCATCTTTAGTCGGTTATAAAGTCTTTCATCGTGCGGGACAAAATATATTTAATTAAACTCAGGATTATAGCTTGATATATTCCGAACATCAGAAGTTATTTTTAATTAAAGCAGCTAAGATTTGTACGTTTGAATGGGAATAAACATCTAGAAATGTTGAGCGGTCACACAACAATAAAACGACTTTTAGCTACATGGTTTAAAGGCTTGTTTACTGCCAAAACAACATGTTGACGCCTAAGATAACGAGTAAACATGTTAAAAACCAACATGTTGATGTCCGAAAAAAATGTAATTGTTTACTGCCAAAAACAACATGTTGATGCCGGAAACCAGGATGACTGGTTAAAAACCAACATGTTTATGTTGTGCACCGCCAAATCTGTTAATCAGTCATGTTTCATGTTTATTTTGTATTGTTTTTCACTTCCTGTTTTGTTTTTGTCACGTCTCACATCAGAGGCCTGTACTACGAAGCTGGTTCAACCTAACCTGGATATGTTCGAGTTAGCCGGTTGGCCTAATCCAAAACATACGCGCTCTCGCTAAGCGGTCGTACGACGCGGGTTATCAAGTGGATCGCTCAAGCCAGCCGTGTCCTATCTAGTTAGGTGCGTGTTCACATGAGAGGGGTGGTATCTGGAGCATTCGACCAATCACAGACATGGAGAAGCGCACTGACAGCGCAGCGTCATACTTCCTGAATGAAAAGTCAACTATAATATTAGACATATGAAGAAGTTAAACTTTAAACATCCATGACTTAAACACTTGATCCAGGATCAAAGCCACAGAGCTGCACCTGCAAGGTGAACACAGCTGGGAACAGAACAAGAGTTTGAATGCGTACATTAACAGCTTTATGATATCACTGCCCGTCTAAGACACCATCTGACTTTCATTACATTTGACTCCAGTGTTTCCTCAACTTAATGTGTTGCTTCAAATAATGCTTCTGCATCCAGTCTGTGACGCTGTGAGTGTTGCACGGCCAGATACGGCTCAGCTGACTCAGATCAGGAGATGATACATTATGAAGTGATATGGACTGTACTTAATGTGACTCTGATCCGGTTACTGATGTTGTGGCAGATATTTCAGTAAGCTTTCTTAACGCTAATGTTATAATAGTCAGATTGCTCTGAAGATGGAGGTGATATTCTATTCATGTTCACGTTCACACACTCGCTGATTTTTGCCGGCCGTCTTTCCTGCAACGGCAGCTTTTCTGTATTTCCTTTCTCCTGTAATATGACTTGATCGCTTTAAACTCCGCACACTGAGCTCTGATTGGTCAGCAGGCGGTGCTTTCACTGAGTTGATCTCTTAGCCTGCAACCTAACCTGCTCCGGAGCAGGTTAGCCGCTCAGCATCAGTTACCATGGAGATCTAGCCGCTAAAAAGAGAACCAGCTTCGTAGGACCGAAAACCCAGAGTTACCCTGAAGTTAGCCGCTAAGAGAACATCCTACTTCGTAGTACAGGCCTCTGCTCCCTTGACTCCCTTTCCTTATGTGTTCTCCCGCCCTCATCAGCGTCAGCCCCGCCCCTGATTGTTTTCACCTGTGTCTTGTTGTTGAGTGTTTAAATTCCCCAGTCTCCCAGCGTTCAGTGTCAGTTCGTCTTGTCCTCATGCCAGGGCTCTGCTCTTCAGCGTTTGCTCGTTTGATTCAAGCCTATTTTTGCTCCTGAAACTTATTACAAGTTTAGTTCCTCACGTTGTGAGCGATTTTCTGTACTTTGTTCAAGCCAATTGGCAAAAACCAATATGTTGACGTACAGTATGTTTGGTCGACCTCGTTTACTTTCTACGCTTGTTTCCCAATAAGTCTCAGAACAACATACATGAGCGTTTGATGGTACCAGTTACCTGTATATTTCAAAGGTGTAATTCACAAACTACTTCTAAGCTATTCAGTAAAAGGTTTTAGGTTTTTAAAAGTCTCTTATGTAAGGTAAGTTAGGTACATCAGTTAAAATACGTCCAAGTTAACTCTTGGTTTCATTCGGTGCACCAACATCGGTCTCGTTATCGTTACAAATCATGTTGTATCAATATTTTACTACACAAGGCTTCTTCCTCGGCTCCTCTCATCGTTGGAGGTTCCACGTAGATATTTCAGTGAAAGGGGAGTATTTGTTGAATTAATATATTGGCACCAAACTAAGCGAGAACATGCTTTAAGGGGACATTTTGGACGTAAGTAACACATTTTTCATGCTTAACGTGTTATTTTAGATTTAAGCAAAAGGAAAAATCAGCAGCGTTAAATTGAGTGACTTTAATATCCAGATAATCGATAAATGATTGGAGTATATCAGTATTTCTATCCTCCAGAAGGCTGATGACAGGTTGTGTTTCCACGCAGTGAAAGTGTATCTTAGTTGGAGTGAACGCTCTCTGTCCTCCCTCAGAAGACTCCCAGAAACTGCGGCGGGGAAATCCTGGGATTGATGATGGCGTTCTTATCTCGGGTTTGTTTTAAGCTGCAGAGTCTCGTTACTGTGAAAACACTCACCCCGGCGTGTTGACCCACACGATACCGATGTGGCAGAAGAAAATACACTCCTTGTCTTTCTGGTTCTCGCAGGAGCAGCGCTTCACTCTCCGGTGGGCTGTGTGGTGGAGCTGCACCAGGGGGCCCTCCTCCACCGTGGGGCTCGTAACGGCGAATGTAGAGGCTAGACAACACAAATAGAAGGTTAGCTTTTTCTTTATACGAAATATAAATAGTAAATAGTAAGAAATAGGTTTAGAGCAGAAGCTTACTAGGTCGTGTTCCGGCAGAGAACAATATGAGAAGGTAGGTGTCAGACACTGCTCTATAAGTCAGATTTATTTTCAGGATTCTTTAAAAATGCTATTCCCACTGCAGTTTGGTTAGCTGCACCAGAGGACCCTCCTTCCAAACATTTATATTGAAGGAAAGAAAGCATCCAACACTTTTTTCTATGACCAAAATCCCTGCAGTTCTCTGTGTTTATCATTTTTGATCAGCAAATGCTAGCATGCTAACACGCTAAACCTATGGTGAACATGGTCAACTTTATACCTGCTAATCATTAGCATGTTAGCACGGTCATTGTGCGCATTTTAGCATGCTGAGGTTAGCATGTAGCTCAAAGCACCAATGTGATTAAATACGGACTCTTTTCACCCTCTGTCTGAAACCAGAGCCCAGTGTGCTCTGATTGGTTAGCTGGCAGGCTCTGTTGTGATTGGTCAACCAGTTTAGAGATGTCCCGCCCCTTAACCTATCACGTACAATGTGTTGGAGCGCTAGCGAGTGTTTCATAGGGATGTCAGGAAGTAAACAAAGTCCAATTGAGGCGTTTCAGGCAGGTAGGGATTTTAGCCTCTGCAGACCATTAACATGCACTACAGAAAGCAGAATAGGGCCTCTTTAAAATATTCTAACTTTTCATTTTGAGAACATGAGGAAAGGATTGAATAGAAATACCAGATTTATTGAGATTCAATGAAGATTTATTTCTAAATCTTCATTGAAGCTGCAGCTCGGAGCTTTGTCTCTTGAGTTGTATTATTAGACCATTCTAACCAGACACAACCTTTATTTGAAAAGAATAACAACGGAAAAAAGATTTACAGGAAAAATATTCAGACGGGAGGACAGTGGGGGAGTTTAGTGCAGAACAAAGGAGACGGGAAGGACTTCAGTTGCTCTGTCTTTAGCCGTTTTGTATTTGCAGCTCTTAGTAAACGCTGCCATGTCTCGTCAAGCTTCTGGATGTTCTCTAAACGCTGCCATGTCTCCTCAAGCTGCTGAGTGTTCTCTAAACGCTGCCATGTCTCCTCAAGCTGCTGGATGTTCTCTAAACGCTGCCATGTCTCCTCAAGCTGCTGAGTGTTCTCTAAACGCTGCCATGTCTCCTCAAGCTGCTGGATGTTCTCTAAACGCTGCCATGTCTCCTCAAGCTGCTGGATGTTCTCTAAACGCTGCCATGTCTCCTCAAGCTGCTGGATGTTCTCTAAACGCTGCCATGTCTCCTCAAGCTGCTGGATGTTCTCTAAACGCTGCCATGTCTCCTCAAGCTGCTGGGTGTTCTCTAAACGCTGCCATGTCTCCTCAAGCTGCTGGATGTTCTCTAAACGCTGCCATGTCTCCTCAAGCTTCTGGATGTTCTCTAAACGCTGCCATGTCTCCTCAAGCTGCTGGATGTTCTCTAAATGCTGCCATGTCTCCTCAAGCTGCTGGATGTTCTCTAAACGTTGCCATGTCTCCTCAAGCTGCTGAGTGTTCTCTAAACGCTGCCATGTCTCCTCAAGCTGCTGGATGTTCTCTAAACGCTGCCATGTCTCCTCAAGCTGCTGGATGTTCTCTAAATGCTGCCATGTCTCCTCAAGCTGCTGGATGTTCTCTAAACGCTGCCATGTCTCCTCAAGCTGCTGGATGTTCTCTAAACGCTGCCATGTCTCCTCAAGCTGCTGAGTGTTCTCTAAACGCTGCCATGTCTCCTCAAGCTGCTGGGTGTTCTCTAAACGCTGCCATGTCTCCTCAAGCTGCTGGGTGTTCTCTAAACGCTGCCATGTCTCCTCAAGCTGCTGGATGTTCTCTAAACGCTGCCATGTCTCCTCAAGCTGCTGAGTGTTCTCTAAACGCTGCCATGTCTCCTCAAGCTGCTGGATGTTCTCTAAACGCTGCCATGTCTCCTCAAGCTGCTGGATGTTCTCTAAACGCTGCCATGTCTCCTCAAGCTGCTGGATGTTCTCTAAACGCTGCCATGTCTCCTCAAGCTGCTGGATGTTCTCTAAACGTTGCCATGTCTCCTCAAGCTGCTGGATGTTCTCTAAACGCTGCCATGTCTCCTCAAGCTGCTGGATGTTCTCTAAACGCTGCCATGTCTCCTCAAGCTGCTGAGTGTTCTCTAAACGCTGCCATGTCTCCTCAAGCTGCTGAGTGTTCTCTAAACGCTGCCATGTCTCCTCAAGCTGCTGGATGTTCTCTAAACGCTGCCATGTCTCCTCAAGCTGCTGGATGTTCTCTAAGCGCTGCCATGTCTCCTCAAGCTGCTGGATGTTCTCTAAACGTTGCCATGTCTCCTCAAGCTGCTGGATGTTCTCTAAACGCTGCCATGTCTCCTCAAGCTGCTGGATGTTCTCTAAACGCTGCCATGTCTCCTCAAGCTGCTGGATGTTCTCTAAACGCTGCCATGTCTCCTCAAGCTGCTGGATGTTCTCTAAACGCTGCCATGTCTCCTCAAGCTGCTGGATGTTCTCTAAACGCTGCCATGTCTCCTCAAGCTGCTGAGTGTTCTCTAAACGCTGCCATGTCTCCTCAAGCTGCTGGATGTTCTCTAAACGCTGCCATGTCTCCTCAAGCTGCTGAATGTTCTCTAAACGCTGCCATGTCTCCTCAAGCTGCTGGATGTTCTCTAAACGCTGCCATGTCTCCTCAAGCTGCTCAGTGTTCTCTAAACGCTGCCATGTCTCCTCAAGCTGCTGAGTGTTCTCTAAACGCTGCCATGTCTCCTCAAGCTGCTGGATGTTCTCTAAACGCTGCCATGTCTCCTCAAGCTGCTGAATGTTCTCTAAACGCTGCCATGTCTCCTCAAGCTGCTGGGTGTTCTCTAAACGCTGCCATGTCTCCTCAAGCTGCTGAATGTTCTCTAAACGCTGCCATGTCTCCTCAAGCTGCTGGATGTTCTCTAAACGCTGCCATGTCTCCTCAAGCTGCTGGGTGTTCTCTAAACGCTGCCATGTCTCCTCAAGCTGCTGGGTGTTCTCTAAACGCTGCCATGTCTCCTCAAGCTGCTGGATGTTCTCTAAACGCTGCCATGTCTCCTCAAGCTGCTGAATGTTCTCTAAACGCTGCCATGTCTCCTCAAGCTGCTGGATGTTCTCTAAACGCTGCCATGTCTCCTCAAGCTGCTGGATGTTCTCTAAACGCTGCCATGTCTCCTCAAGCTGCTGGATGCTCTCTAAACGCTGCCATGTCTCCTCAAGCTGCTGGATGTTCTCTAAACGCTGCCATGTCTCCTCAAGCTGCTGGATGTTCTCTAAACGCTGCCATGTCTCCTCAAGCTGCTGGATGTTCTCTAAACGCTGCCATGTCTCCTCAAGCTGCTGGATGTTCTCTAAAGACTGCATGTGTTGTTTCTTCATGAGTAACATTTGGGTTTTTATATCTGCATCCTTTCTTTTCACGCTGCTATGCACCATGCACATTCCCAAAGACATTGAAGTGACGGTTATTTTGTATATATTGATGTTGTGTTTTATCTCAATGTGTGCATATGTGTAAATGTGTCTGTTGGTTATATATATATATATATATATATAGGATATACATATTTGTATTTTGTATTCGGGATTGTTGGAAAGTTATTTCGATCTCTCTGTTTTTGTACAAACACACAGAAAAATGTACATTAAGGTTGACCTTCTGAAGCTGCAGCGTGTTTCAAATTCAAATTCAAAACCTTTATTTATCCAGGTAAAATCCCATTGAGATCAATGATCTCTTTTTCAAGGGAGACCTGCAGCAGTAGGTTCCACAAGAAGACAAACAACAGAACAACAAAAGGACATCATACAGCAAAATGTACAGCGATTACAATTTACATATTTAACCACAAGTACAGGTACCAACAGCATCTGATTGAGTAGCATCCAACCGAGCTTTAAAAACATGTAGTGGTACTAGCTTGGTCATTTTCCATTCTTTTCTCCTGATGGGAGAGTTTGTCGGCCTCCTTATAATCGAGGACAACTTGCAACACACACATGGTCAAAGTATCCCACATGATTGCTCTTTTTGGCATCAAACAATGATCCACAGTGCAGTCGGTCAGTGCAACAGAAACCATGCGTTTCCTGCACAGCGTGGAAGTGTGATTTGTTCACACGCAGTCACCGGATACTCCAGGGATCATTTACTATATTTAGATCCTTTTTCCAGAGTCTAAAGTTAGGTGTGAACGAGGCGCCAGTCCTGGGACTCGTGGCAATGCGTGAGCGCCATGGACACATATCGTGTGTGTGTGTGTGTGTGTGTCCTGATGGAGACCTTGTGGCCCAGAGTACATTAAGTCATTTCTGTCTCTGTCCTTTGTTCTGCACGAAACTCCCCGCTGTCCTCCCGTCTGAATATGTCCCCGTAAATCTTTAAGTAAAGTTTGTGTCTGGTTGGAAATGAGACAAAGCTCCCAGCTGCAGCTTCCATGAAGATGTAGATATGAATCATCTTACTGACTTCTCCGTTTGGTATTTCTATTCAATCCTTACCTCGTGTGCTCGCAATGAAACGTTTTTGAATATTTGAAAGAGGCATTATTCTGCTTTCTGTGGTGTTCCCTCTCCTGCAGTGTGTTATAGGTGTTAGTGCATGTAAATGGTCTGCAGAGCATAACAACGGAAACCACACAACTGTCTCTGTTGATGGAAACTTACCTAAAAATTGTTATGGGCTTATTTTATCAATGTGATCACATGACTCCGTCTGAAATGATAGCAGCTATGTTACCTCTGGTGATTGGTCAAGTTGACCAAAACATTTGGAGAACATTTGGTTTTAAAAGGAGAACAAATACGATGACAGAGAGAAATGTTGGCAACAGGACAGATTAAAGTTGATGACAAATGGACAATGAAAAAAATAAGTTGATTCATTAAAATAATTGACCAAAAGAAAAAGCTGATTCCAAAAAATAAGACGTAAAAT